GTAGCTCCCATACGTGGTGCGGTCGAGACTGGTGACTGTCGAGAGCGCCCCGCCCGGCTCGGTCTGCGCGCCGCTCAGCATCCCTCTCGTTATCCCGTGCTAATTATTATCCCCATCTTAGCAACCCAGCATCCCGTCTGGCCGGCGCAGCGCGCATCCGCTGGACCACCCGCCGGCGCGCAGGGCTCCGACAAACGAGCTCAAAGCAAATAGCGGGAGGCCACGCTGAGCTCGTCCACCGCTTGTCCGTTCGTGTGTGTGTGTGTGTGTGCTCGTGTGGTCTGCACAAGCTCTTCTGTGCGGGCTGGACTCGCCTTTTTCAACCACCTCTCATATCTCTCTCCATATTGAGCCTTCTTCCTCTCTTCTCCGCCCTCTACCACGTCAGTTTTGTTTCCGCAAAATCCAAGGCAAAGTCTACGTGGGTTAATACGTTCGTCGATGCAATACACGTCACCCTCTGTCTCAGATTTCATGAAACTCGGTCTTTCCATCCTGTACCTTGTACTGGAGCAAAGTTCTTTTCAAGCACGGTCAAAGTCTTATTTGTCCCTTAAATACCAGACTAACAGATTATGACCGTAGTATCAAAGTACAAGACGCCGTGTGTGGATTCTGTTTCTGCGGTACAGAATTTTTAACGGTGTCTTGCCTTTCTGTATCTGTATGTGTGCGTGTGTGTGTGTGTGTGCGCGCGCCGGGCAGGATTACAGCTTTGCACCCGAGTCTGGCAGGGGGGGTCTTATGAAATCTGCGCGACGTGTTAAGCAGATGCAAACAGCATGTAGGCAGGCGGCGTAGTGTTGGGCTTAATGCCCGATGGCTGCCCGCAGCTCTGCGTGTGTGTGCGTGTGTGTGGGGAAGGGGACTTGGGCGAGCCCCTCCTCCCCCCCTTTCCCCTCGTGGTCCGAATCCCTTTGAAGTGAGTCGGCTATTTTTCTTTGGTGCCCAGGCGGTGCGCCCGCCCGCACCACGTCACCGGGCGCGTCGTCCCCTATGTGTGCGTGTGTGAGGCCCCTCGCCTGCAGTCCAATGCGGCTCCGACGTTACATCTCTTTTCGCGAGCTCAATGCCTCATTAAGCTCAGGCGAGTGGGGGTACTTTGCAGCTTAACTATCAGCAGCAGCAGCAGCAGGGCGCCCGCCGGGCAGGGGATAGGCAACCCCTGGGCGGTCGTGTGATGCGGCACGGCCTACCCCACGGGGGGCCCCGCCCACCGCGCGCAGCCTCGAAGCAGAAGGGGTACTGTCTGCCTCTGATGGACTGGGACTGTGCCCGCCCCCCGAGCCATTCCAATAAGCGAAGCATTTCGTTATGAATCACATTTTTCCTTGCTCTGCTGCTGAAGGCGGGGAGAACAACTAAGCGTCCCGGTCCCCCCCTCTCCAACCCTTATCACTTCCCCTCCCCCTCGGCACTCAGTCATCCCTTTCTGCCCCGCCCGCCAGCAGGCCTCACTTGTCATCTTTTGGCGATTTGGACTTCCGTTCGGAATGCGTCTTGCGGGGCCCATTCCTCCTGATTGTCGTCTCTCCCCCCCTCCCCTTCCCACTTCCTTTTCCCACCCTTTCTATCTCGCTCCTTTCCTCTCTTCTGCTTCCGCTTCTCCAATTATCGCGCCGCTAGTTCAATGCCGCGCGATACAAGCGAGCTCCTTGTGCACTCGTCTTAATGAGTGTGAGCTCCTCGGGGCCACGCCCCGCCCCGCCCCACCTACCTCACCGCGCCCCCCGCGGAACGCCCTCTCTGTCAGCAGAATAGAGTTTTGACATCAGCACTTTTTAATTGGCAAGAAAGGCGGTGTCTACTGCGGCACACAGCGTTTGCCCCTCTCTTCCCACCAGCCCCCCTCCTCTTTCCCTTCGATCACCTTCACCTTCCCAGAACTTTGCAGCCCCCGCTCGGAACACATACTTTCGAGAATATTTTCATAATCACCCCCCGACTAAACTTTCACTTTTCGCACTACCCTCCTCCTGCCCCACTGCTGCACGCTCGCTCTCTCTCTCCGCCCTCCCCTCCCTTTTGTTGCCACGTCCGATTGGGACGGGAAGGAACCGGAAGGAAGAAAAATAGTCGGTGAGGATGGCGTTGGTTGGGGGAGAGGAGGGGG